TGGTAGAAAACGCTGCCAAGTCTTGTGAGATCTGGTTAAACTTTTTCATCACAGTATCAGTGACATGTACAGAGAAGATTCTGCAGACTGCACTGGAGGCTTCATTAAGGCTAGCCTGGCTTACTTGGAGGACTCATGTGAGTGTGCCCCGGGGGTGCTGGAAACACTACATCCTCTTGTTCTAAGCTCTAGCACTAGGAGAGTGTGCTTTTCTCTCTGTATATGAAGCCATTTCGGGGTTTTAGGTTAGGAATACACATTTGTTGGGATGAAATGCCCTACCATGCTATTCAACCTCTGTGTTTCTATAAATCAGAGATGAAACAATGAAGACAAAAGTAAAGACTAATTTCTTAGAAAATGCCTCATTCAAGAAATTAGTGCCTTTCTCTGCAAAAACACACAGAAAAATTGTAGTTCCCATTCTGGTTTCTGTTTCTGCACTCCACTGAGCTGGGAAACTCTGAAGTTTATTTCATGCTCTTGGAGCAGGAAACTTCTAGTTTTCCAAAGTAATTGCTTCTGTTCCACTTCACAGTAAGGGCCCCATTCTGATCTGACTGAAACAAGCATAAAAATACTGCACTGGATGTGGGTAGGTGTATTGAGCTTTCCTTTTAGTGTCTTTTCATGTTTATTAACATAATTGCAAGGTATTATTTTCAATCTAAGTAAATTGGTTTGCACTGAATTTGAGTTTTGTTCTCTGAGTTCAGAATAACATGTTTGAATTATGTATGATAGCTACAGAAAATCTGAAGATAGCTTGACCTTGAACGGTTCTGTGCTGCCATTTATCCTGACAAATACAGAATTTGTTTCCTTCCTCTCATTCTGCAAGGATCCCGGAAGTATACTTGAAATACCACACAGATAAAAATCAGTGGCAGATGTGAGATCAGTCACTGTTCCTGTTGATTACTAGTTCACTAGTTCCCCCCCATTGTACCCCCCACTGTATATGTATACATACAAATATAAATATATACAGCCCATCATTGACTTACAAATAAAACAAAAGGCAAAAAAAAACTATAATGAGGTGTTCTCACAAGCTATGGAGAAAAAATGTCATCTTGTCACATGATAATTTGTACTGTGCTTCAAAGAAAATCTGTTTCACATAAGGATACAAAATAACTTCTAGTTGTATATTCAGGGTCTAGTATGATATCTCATTCTCTCGTCAGATCTCATAAATTAAATAGGGCATCAGATGTTTAATGACATGCTCTGACTGTATGTACTTTTGTTACAATACCATGAACCTAAACATATTCTTCTTTCGACTTTCTTTGTTATGCTGTCTTTGATAGAACCTTACTCGGGATTGGAAGAGAGGCATAACAGATCTTGACACCAGCAAAGAAATACTGGGTTTATTTCATAGGCATTTTATTATAGCTATTATAACTTACTATGTTTATTAAAGTGACTTCTAACACAGAAAATAGCATGAATCAAAATTATGTATCTTCTAATCTTCCTTGCAAGTTTGAATTAAGATCAGGAGTTGGATCTAGAATTTAGGCTGTTCCATGTTCGGCAGGTCAGAATGAAGTTCTGGAAACAAATTTCCTTTAACTCAGTTAAATTCAGATTCAGTTCACGTCTGACCTTTGCAGGATAATCCAGTTCGTACCACAGCACGTCATGCCCAGTATATAAACTGGGGCAGTTACCTGGAAGGGCTTAGATCACTGCTCAGTTGGACTGGGTATCAGTCGGCAGGTGGTGAGCGATTGTATTCTCTTCCCTTGTTGTTTCCCTTATCATTATTATTATTATTGGTGGTAGCAGCAGTGGTTTGTGTTATACCTTAGTTACTGGACTGTTCTTATCTCAACCCGTGGGAGTTACATTCTTTTAATTCTTGTCCCCATCCCTCTGGGAGCCAGGGGAGAGGAAGTGGAGGAGTGAGAGAGCAGCTGCATGGCTCTGATTTACGGCTAGGCTTAAACCACAACATCTTAAAATGGGAAAAAAAATAAACAGTAAGATTCAGATTTTGTAGGGGAAAACTCAGAAAGATGTACAAATTACAGGATAAGGAAGTTTACCTGACTTTAACGTGCTTTTGTAATCGTAAGTGTGAACATGGTTTTAAACTGTCCAAACTGCATTTTATGTACCTTTTGGAAAGGTACATATTTTCTTGTCAGCAAGAAGACCAATACAGTGCTGGTCAAATTGTTCAGCCATCATTTAGCCTTTCTAGTGATAGCATTACAGTCAGCCTTGGTTCTATAACTTCATTTAATTTCACTCACTGTAGGAAGGATGAGGAAGTGAATCACGTCTCAGTAATGGACATGTGGAAGGGGAAGGCATTGTTGTGTGTACTGAAATAACAATCACAAGGGCATCAGGTTTACATTTGAGGCAAAAGCTTTGCCCCAGATGATTCAGACTGGAATTATCTAAAATGTCCAGGTCCCACCAAAATTAATGGGCATTAGGCTGTATACCTAAAATAGTTAACAAACAGCATACATATTAATACAAGGGTTATCTAGTGTCTTTCCCAAGTGCAAAATTCTTTACAGAACAGTATGTTTTAATCTGCATTCTGAAAGGTTTGTCTAAGCTATGACTGCAATTTTAAAGCAGAAAACAAAACAGTGTCAGAGAAGGCTGGTTTGTGAGAAGCATATGGCTCAAAAACCCCACTGTTCTTCCACTCCCTTGATTTACATAGTTAGGTTAGGAGCAGCCGCCCGCTTCAGCCACTCCAACCTACAACTCCCTCCCACCCCAGCCAGTGGAGCCCAGCCTGGGAACCAGGGACCTGGGGTCTCTGCCCAGGCTGAGGGACCCAGCTTCTACTTCTCTGTTTGCAGGGTCAAGCCAGCAGCAGAGACCAATAATAACCGTGTGCTCGTTAGAGTGTAGTGATACTTCAGATGCAGTGAAGCTGAGAATCCTGTATTAAAATGCCTCTGTGTTCAGTTCTCAAATGCTATCAAATGTTGGTAGTAACTTGGAATATATTGCTGAATCTAATTTGCGGCTTAGTTACTTGGTTCATACTGGTTTTGATATGGAAATTTAATTGTGTCTCTAGGTTTTCATCTTATTTTTCAGTTAGTGCTTGAAAGATGATGGATAATCTTTCATCATATTCAGATACAGCCATATAATGTCCTTGGCTTTGCTGGGTTTACTATTGTGCTTGTATCCACCAAACAACAGGGAATTGCACCTTCAGTTGCTCTGTACTGTTGTCTACTGTAAAGCCTCAGCTGAATTTAGTCAGTCACTGGAAAGAACAAGTTAAAAGAAGTAGGAAGCAGGTTTCTGAAAGCCCTATCCTCTCTTCTTCACATAAGTCACTAGCCAGTGCACATGCTGGGAAGAGAACAGAAATCCTGTCCCTATGGCTTGACTCTCCTGCCAATCCAAACTAACAATCCTCAGTCTGGGATTAGCACGATTTTGGTGGGGGGCAGTTGGTCTGATGAGGTTTTTGTGCATTAGTTAGGCAACTGGGGAATACTTTGGAGTTAGTCCTTTTCCATCTGATGTGTATTAGTGTGAGGGGATTAATAATCTTCCTCATTGTAGTTTATGGCTCCTTGTATTGTTGGGTGATATGACCTCAAGACAAGCCTTTGGCCATGAATGTTCTGGCAAAACCGTTCAGTTAAAATGGGTCTTAATTATATTTTGGGGAAGACTTTATATGTATCTGGGTTTTGTTTTATTAATAGGTGCCACATTAAGCAGCGTCTGTCCTCAAGTGCCAGTTGCTTGTTTCTGCCCTCTATTCACTGACCTCTTTTAGCCAGTCCTTTTGTGTCACATGATAAACTGTATTCAGGAGCAGAATTTAGAAAGACTTTTATTCCTTTTTCCTGCTGCTGTTCAAACAATATTAGTTGGATAATCCATTATTCTCCTATCTCCATGAATAGCTGTTTCCATTTACTGAAGAAGGATGGAAGGCATTGGAGATCAGCAAGTTGGGTAGGAAAATGAGAGAAGGAATGGGAGCTGTCTTAGGCACGAAAACCAATGTGTCAGTCAAGAACTGCAGGGCTAGTCATCTTTCTAGCTGAAATCTGTAAATCCATTATGCATTTTTCACACTTTTCCTTTCTTTGCCAGTAAAATGCTGGCTGCTCTCCCTTTCTTCCTGTTCTCAACTTAAACAGATTCTGTCTAAATTCTTTTCCTGAAGCTTTTCCAGGGAGTTAAATCTTGCTTAAGATTTATAAGCAATGAATGAGGCTCTCCACTTATCCAGGAGATCCTGTCTTATCCATGACATTTTTCACAAGTAAATCAACACAGTCACTTCCAAAGGGCATTCAGTTAAACAACTACATACAAACATCCTCTGTGTCCCTGCCTTTTAACATGAGTCAAGACACTAATTCATTCTCATCTCTTATAGAACACCTTCAGAAAGACAGATAAATGAATGTATTGAGAGCAAGAATGGAAATCTGACAGAATGTTCTCACATTCCTCAGAAGTGGGCCAGGACATTAGATTTTAGGGCTAGTTTCAAGTTTGCAGAAAGTTTCCAACACACGTACATTGCCGAGGAAGGCTAGTTCTAGAGAAACTTGTCTAGAAATTCATTTAATGGAACACATGGAATGCGTTTTGCCCAGAAAAATCTAAGAAGTGGGAATGTGATTCCTGAAGTACAGCAAGACGGATATTCTTCCTATTCCCTTAATCTTTGTGTGAAGAGAGAAATAATGAGAAACAGCACTAGAAGGCGGGGGGAGGAGAAGGTTAGCAGAAGATTTCCATCCTGTAGACACAACTAATGAAAGAATAATCAACTGTACTGTATGAATTCTTGCAGGTAGTTCCCAATGACTTAAATCAATAACCTTACAATGTAATCTAATAACTATATAATATTTCTTTCCCACCTTGCCTTTTTCTTTCCCCATCTATAAAACATGTCTTTTCCTGTGGTAAAAGTACGGGTTTGAGCAGTAGTACATGAAGTGAATAATGCTCTTTATCCTGCTGCTTTACAGGGTTTCCTGTACAGATGAATGACTCGGATCACTTGCTATTCCAGCATTCATTTCAAGGGTGCATGCAGTTTATTCATGTGGATGATCAGCTGGTGGATTTACACGCAGTGGAGCAAGGCCAACTGGGAAGCTTTGCCAATGTCACCATTGACATGTGTGCCATTATTGATCGGTAAGTTGTGGAGACATCGCTGATACTCTGATACACTGATGCATGCTGCCCAAGCAAGTGGTAAATGCTCCATCCCTGTCAGTGTTCAAGGCCAGGTTGGGCAGAGCCTTGGGTGACATGGTCTAGTGTGAGGTGTCCCTGCCCATGGCAGGGGGTTGGAACTGGATGATCTTAAGGTCCTTTCCAACCCAAACTATTCTATGAATCTGTGATTCTTTGTCCTGCATGTTCTGAGACTGTACAGTGATACAGAAGAGGTGGCATCAGTGTCTTCTGGCTTCACTGAATTCCGCAGAGTACTAAAATAGGTCCACATGCTTGCACAACTGTTTATGTAATAAATGCTTAAACTGTATTAAAATAATGCCTGGTGGTTGGGTTGGTTTTCTTTTTTCCAAACTGAGAAGAGTAGTTCCGAATTATGGCAGGCTTTTGCTTTGATCCCTGCCTTTTCAATCACTTACCTGGGTTAATTTCTCTTCCTCCTGAGTAATATTTTCTTCTTTGATGGCAAAAAAGAAAACATGAGGAAAGACAGCAAAGAGCAATTAGCCCAACTCCTGAATGCAGGCTGCTTGGCTTATGAGAATTGCCTACGTATTAAATTCATTACAAGTTTGCTGGAAAGCTGAAGATGGCTTTTTAGAATTTAGAAAGAAGCAGAAATGACAAGATCATAGAACCCTACAAGGATTCAGGTAAGGAGCAACCAATGGAGTTGATGTGGTCCGAGCCCCGCTCATAATGCAGAGCCAGCTTCAAAGCTGTGTCAGGTTGCTCAGGGCCACAGTCAGTAGAGTTTTGAGAATGTCCAAGGATGGATATTCCACAGGCTGAATGACTCTGGGTATTAGCAAAGAGTGGCATAGTTAAGGTAAAGAAAAGTGTGTGCTTTTGATTTCCTGCTGAAGGCAAGAGAATCTCAAAGAGATTAATGTTACTAAGAGAAAAACAAAATGCAGCATACTGCTTTGGTCTTACAAAATGCCTCTCTTCCTGAAATGTAGACATCGGTTTGCAGTAAACAAGTTGTGAGTTGACTGTAGTCAGGAGCCAAACATCTGCCCTACCTTTTTCTCACTCCTCTCTTCCAGGAGATGGTGTGGGGAGGAGGGGAAAGTGAAAAGACTCTTACAAGTGAAAAGACTTTTGGATTAAGTTGATAGTTTAATAAGAATGGCAGTTTAATAAGAAACGCAAAACCTGCACATGCAGGCAAGTGAGAAGAGGAATTCATTCAGTACTACTCATTGGTAGGCAGTTGTCTAGCTGCTTCTGGGGAAATGGGGTCTCAGCAACTATAATGCCTGTTTGGAAAGAGAAACATCCCCACCCCTTCCTCCTCCATTCCCTGAGATTTTATTGCTGAGCATGACAGTGCAGAGTATGGGATACTGCTATGGTCAGTTTGGGTCAACTGTCCCAGCTGTGTCACCTCCTAACTTCTCCCACCCCCTTCCTTCTGGCCTTTATGGCGGAGAGTGTGGAGCTAAATCCCTGGTGCTGTGCAAGCTCTGTTCAGTAGGATCCAAAACAGTGGTGTGTTATCAACAGTGGTTTACCCAAACTGAAGAACAGCACCATACGGGCTGCTGTGAAGACAGTAAACTGGAAACTTCATCCCAATCAGACCCAGTATTCCATTTTAGCAATATCAGTGTGAAGGAGCATGTGGTGTACCAGTGGGTTGTTGTCCTGGTGTGTGTGGCTGTTTTACATTGCTGCTTCTCATGGACCTGTTGAGGTCTGAAGTCATAGTGAAAAGAGGAAGCGAAGAGTTGCTGTCATAGGGAAGAAGTTTGTTTTATCTCCTCACATACAATTGAAATTAGAAAGGTCTCATGGGTTAGTACTTGAGAGTTTGAATTGCTCACTTTTATTTTGAATACCTGGTTTTGGGAATGTAAATGGACTTGGAAGAAAGGATGGGAAGATACATCTAGTTAAGTCCCTGCTTTTTCCCCGGTGGATAAATCTGTTTATGTGACAGTTTGTATTGATCCTGTTTATGCCAGCATCTATTAGAAAGAATTCCATCATCATAGGGAAAGTAATTAGAATTAGGCTTTTGCAATGTATTACAATGTAGTTACAATTAACTTAGAATGTAAGTTAACTAGAATCAGGTTTACAATGCACTGTTGAAAAACAGAACTTAAAGCTTCCTATATGTCAGGCAGCTTACTTTTGAGTTGAACTTCATATAGAAGTTACTATTCATATGGTATTTCTTTTTATAAGGTATAATAATATATATTGTTATTCATTATAATACCATATGCCATATATGGTATTATATGAAATACCTTTTACTGTGTTAAAATATTATGCTTTATATATTGGACTTATTTTATATACCTCATAATATTTGTATTCATTATATATTTTAATATAAATAACACTGGTTTATGTATGTTTCTGCATATATGCTTTCTCTAAGGAAATGGAGTCTCACTCTCTTTCTTCTGCCACCTTGGACACTTACATCATCCTGATTATATAAAACATATGTATATAAAACTATGTATCTTATATTTATGCCTCGTAGGCACTGGAAGTCTGTGTTACAGAGTAACAGTTGTTATTCTGAAACAATCAAAGGAAATTAGGATATTATCCAAAGAATTTTCTTAGGGTTGATTTGGGGTTTTTTTAAGGATTGAGACGTAATCCAGTTTGTTGTTTTACCATGATCAAATTTATTTCTTTGTAGTCTGCACTTTGAAGCAAACCCTTTGACTAAGAAGTAATAATGCCAAGCTTTAGATGTGACTGATTTGTATGGCTTTCTTATGAACATCTGCAAATAAGAGTTTACAAGCACTTCTATTACCATATGCCACTATATATAACATCTTTTCTGTGGCTTTCTTTTAAAGGATCCAAGTACCATGTGTACTATATATTAGCTTAATTTCATTTCCTTTGAAATGGGAAGATATTTGTGACTGTGATACTGGTATCCTCCTGCCTTTTGTAACTTGTTTAGCTCTGAATCATAAAGGCTTCAGTCATCATCAGCATGGAAATTGCTTTCATAGCCACACTTCAGTGAAGACCCCCACTGGGCAAAAAGATAAGCTGTCACAATGAATTATTCTTACTGCAGACTTCAGCCATTTGGTTGAGGGAAGAAAAGGTGAAGTTGTGAATGGTGGCATTTTTCATCATTAGCTACAGCAGATAGTAAGGAGGGGACAGTTCTCTCTATAGGAACATGACAAAAACTGTGGCAGGTTCTCTTGTTGCAGCTGCCTGGAGCTAACTGCTCCATGTTCTGCCAAACTGAACACCTGACAGGTATGGAAAAGGTTTCTGCATTTCTGTTCTAGTATTTTTTTAGGATGTTAGAATAGTCACATTAGAGCATTACACTTGTACTTGGGAGATAAGAGTATTAAACCAGTGCCTCATTGTTTTCAGTCTTCCTCTCCTCATATCAGCATTTTGCTATTGCAAAGACTACAAGCCGAGATCTTATTCAAAGTGATGACCAAAGCTAAGGAACATCCTCTTTTTACTGGTGACCAAATAGTAAAAGTGCATAGAATTTCATTCAGGTATATATATACAGCAATTACAGGCAGCGAAAATGCTACTGAGGATAAACAGTCACCCCTGTTTGTGTATCTTAATCACCTTTAATTGTATTAGCAATGCAACTTGCTTTGTTTTCGCACTGATCAACATGCTATACTGCTTGTGACAGCACAGGTCTCTGTATACCTCCTTTACTTATCATTAACAAACTTAACTAGTCACAGGCCAGATGTTACAGTTGTACTTTAGGATTTTAGCATAGGACTTTGAACGTGAATTATAACTCACAACTAATTTATCCCAGAAGCCTTGGAGAATTCCAAAGCTCACCTGACTTTGTTGTGGCTAGAATTACGGATTTTAATCATGAAATCACAATGAGGAGATACTGAAATGGTTTCAAAACATAGTGTGCAATCTGTCATTGTAAATTACGCAGAACTTATGCCAATTTTAACAAAAATCTTTGTGTACCCTAAGAGATGAAATGACAGAAATGAGTGAAAAAATGCAGTAGCAAGAATGTACCTGTGGCTGCTTCTCGTGTTTCACGAATGGGTGAACTGTGGGATTCTCTCTGTACACGGTGAGATGAATTAGACATCAATTTTTGGTGATAAGTTCATGTTAAAGAATCAATGTAAGTAACCAGCTTTGTGCAGCAGAACAACAATCTGGGTGATTGCTGCTTACCTGATGTGGTGATGCACTGTATGACAGAGTGCCAGCATTTGGCTTTAATCCCATAGGCTTCCTCTGAAGGCTGCTGGGCTGAGTGGCAGTGGGTGTGGCTGGGCATGGTGGGGCTGGTCACCCCCATGTCATTGTGACACCACCCAGCAACACAGCAGTCACAATGCCATGGAACAGAATAAAAGGGAGCAGCCTCCTGTGTCCCCTGGCAGAGATGGCCCAGGGCAGCCCGAGGACATCCGAGAGGAAGTCCTTGAGGAGCTGGTGGAGTTACTTGGAGGGACCTTGAGGAAGGAAGACCAGTGCCTGGTCTAGGCTGCTGGAGGCCAGCTCCTGGCAGGACCAGCTTCTTAGCTGACAGGAGGGATAGCAGTTCTTTTCAGCTGGATAGCTGTGGCCAGACCAAGGAATGCCACCTTGAGGAGCACGGCGGAGCTCATCATCCTCATCCCCTGCAGAGCCAGGAACAGCAGCCATAAGCAGAGATGCAGAGATGTTTCCAGGAATCTCAGCACTTTGGAGCAGCCACTGGTGCCGTCAGGCATAGCGAGGGAGGATTCTTGCCCACAGGGTCTATCAGGATGGGGACCTTTGGCCACTCTTGGAAGCCCCTGAGGTGACTCTGGGTTGAGGGAGGACAGGGCTTGGTGGTCTTCTGGGAGACGTGATCAGCCTTTGGACCAGGAGCAGGTCTTGCTCACATGCTCAGGGATAGCCGATCGCCAGTGTTGGGGTCAGGAAGGAATTTTCCCCCGGGCAGATTGGCA